CCCCCGTCTCTCCACCATTATTTGTTACTGAGGAGTTGCTAGTCCATGCTGTGCAGGGAGTTTCATACTGGGAGCTCCCCATACTGACCAAATTAAAGATTCAGACTAAGGTATAAGGAGGAGGAGGGTTCTGCCTCACTGGAGTTCCTGTGTCAACTAGATCAGATAGTTTGAAGTAGATTAGTTAAAAAAAAAATGAAGGGATGAACGAGCATCCTTCTACATACAAAGCCCTCCCCTCCAAAACACAGAGGTTCCAAGATGGCTATCCAGAAGGCCGGGCCTCCATCCTACCCAGGCGAGGAGGAGAGAAAAGCTTCCGGTCACAACGCACAAGGAGAGCCAGCGGCTGCTTCTGGGTCCAGTTCCCAGCAGCTCAGCGCCCCTCGCCACGTACCTCAGGGCCTCGACGGCAGCTGGGCAGCTCCAGGCCCACCTCAGAGAGGTCCCGCCTCCCGGAGGCTCTGACTGGCTGGGGCCAAGCAGGAAGCAGCCTCCTGAGAGAGCGCCAGGGCTGTCAGTCAAGTGATGGGGATTTACCCATGAGCCCTTGGGAGAGCTTTCCTTCACCCTTTGCCTTCTCCAACTGTCAGGCGCTACTAGAAGCTTCCCGCCCGCCCCAAATGAGCAGTCTGGCCCGTTTGTGCCACTGCAGGGGTGGGGATGTGAGGGACTTGTTCCCTGCCCCCCTCTTCCCCGCCCACCCCACCCCCACCCGCCCTCCATTTGTTCTACTTCAGTCTCTTCCCTCAGGAATTTAAAGTCTTATTCTTCTCATCCCTGGTCATGGGTTCAGCGGCTGGAAGAGCTCGGTGTGTAGTATTTTTGCATGTTTATTTTTGGATCATGGGAGCTAGAGTATATGCTTCACTAGGGAAACTTCCTCACCCCAGAGAAAGATCCCCATCGCTCCAAGGCTTGAAGTGCTCCCCAGGTGCATGAAGTTGCTGGCTGGGTGAAACTAGTCTTAGCATGTTTGAATTCCAACGTGCCAAGAGCTGATTGATCAGAATAAGAAAAGACATAGCGACTGAGAATAGTAGAACTTAACCATCCCTCCCCCTGTCTTCTTTTAGTAGACCCAGTGCTTGGCACAATGCCTGACACATAGTAGACACATAATAAATGATTGCCAACTTGCCAAGGCCAAGAAAAGGAAAATGATTTGCCCAATGTCCAACAGTTAGGCAGGAGCAGAACCTGGGTTTATTTGTTTTTTCTAATTTTTTTAATAATTAATTTATTTTTACTTTTCAACATTCGCTTCCATAAGATTTTGAGTTTTAAATTTTCTTCCCCTTCCTCTTCTCCCCCCTCCCCAAGACATTCTCTATTATACATTATTATACATTCTCTATTTATACATTATTATACATTCTCTATTTATACATTCATATTAAACATATTTTCACATTAGTCATAATGTAAAGAAGAATTAGAACTAATGGGAGGGACCATGAGAAAGAAGAAACAAAACAACAAAGGAAAAGGAAAGCAAATAGTATGTTTTCATCTGCATTCAGACTCCAAAGTTCTTCCTCTGGATGAGGATAGCACTTTCCATCATGAATTTTTTGGAGTTGTCTTAGATCCTTGCATTGCTGACAGGAGCTAAGTCTATCAAAGTCAGTCATCACACAATGTGGCTGTTACTGTGTATAATGTTCTTCTGGTCCTGCTCATTTCACTCTGCATCAGTTCATATAAGTCTTTCCAGGTTTTTCTGAAGTCTGCTTGCTCATCATTTCTTATAGCACAATAGTATTCCATTACATTTATATACCACAACTTGCTCAGCCATTCCCCAATTGATGGGCATGCCCTCAATTTTCAATTCTTTGCCACCACAAAAAGAGCTGCTATGAATATTTTTGTATATGTGGGTCCTTTCCCTGTTTTTATGACCTCTTGGGACCTAGAAGTACTGTTGCTGGGTCAAAGGATATGTACAGTTTTTTGGCCCTTTGGGCATAGTTCCAAATTTTTCTCCAGAATGGCTGGATCAGCAGAACTTGGTCTTGAAGCCAATGTTCTTTCTTTTAATTTTATGTTAAGCTCAGGGTATATTATGATGTTTTATCCTATTTGGGATAAATATGGGGCAGTACATGACTTCCAAGTCTTCCTTCTATCAAATTCTGAGCAAGATAGGGTCAAAGCTGGCCTTTCTAAGCCCAGAGTAGCTGCAGGGGCAGTCCTATTCTCAGGTGGAAGGGAATGGAATGAAGATAATGGGCAAAATAGAGTTGAATGTAGACCAAATGACTGGGAAGAATAGATTGCTAACCACAGACCTCTGTGTTGTTCAGTCATTTAAATCCTGTCTGACACTTTGTGACCCCATTTGGGTTTTTGTGGCAAAGATATTAGAGTTGTTTGCCATTTCCTTCTCTAGCTCATTTTACAGAAGAAACTGAGGCAAACAGAGCTAAGTGACTTATCCAGGGTTACACAGTAAGTGTCTAAGGCTGGATTTGAACTCAGGTCTTTGTGATTCCAGGCCTGATGCTCTATCCACTGCACCACAAAACTCTAAGGAATGCCAAAGTTTAGGAGACAAGCAGAGGAAAAGCAGGGAACAGAGTCAGAACCAGGTACGTATGTGTCACAGAAACCAAGAAAAAAATGAGTTTCAAGAAGGGGTTGGTCATTTATTTCAAGACTGGGGAGACCTAAATATATTTATAGTTAGAAAGGAAGTAGCTACTACAGTGAGAGCCAGCTCTCATATTTCATGCTATTTTCTGTCTTGCTTGAGAGTCAGCAGGAATAGGAGAAAGATTGCCCCTCCATTGAAGATGGTTGACGAAAGTTGTATCATTATGTGGTAAGCCTGCTTTCAGTTCAGCAAAAAGGACTGCTAGTGGAAAAACGGAAGGGTGGAAATGGATTTGCTCAAAATAGAACAGTGATTCCTAAAGGCATAATGGAAAGTGTTGGGAAGAGGAAGAAGAGACCAGAATGAAACAATTTGAGTTAGACAAGGATTGAGAGGACATGGGAAGTAAAGGAAGTTATACCTATGGTAGTGGTTGTGTTTAACAAGGATGAAGAAGGCAAGATGCTGGGAGGTAGGCTTTAGGGACAGGTTGGCTATAGGTATGTAGATGGTGGTGGGGGGGTAGGAGTTGGGAATGCTAAGTTATCATCATGGAGAAATTTATAGAACAAGCTTGCTCCAAAATTCCCATCAGAATGATGATTGGGTGTTGATGGGCTTCCATAAATTGTCTCCTTAGGTGCTAGACTAGACCCAAGTGTGTGCTAGAACCAATTCGAACTGGCTCAAGAGAGGATTGTTAAATTTTTAGTGTGAGCATTTATTTACGCCTGGGACACTGCTACAAATCAGGGTTTGATTTTTTCTTTTGTTGATTGTCTAAAGTAATGGAGAAAATGTTAATAACGTATATTAAACTTAAAAGTGTGTGGTGCTGACTTTTTCCCTGGAGAACCAATTAGTAAACATTTGCCAACATATCCCTTGGCCTAGACCTGATAATATCAGAAAAAGTAGTAAAGGTTGTATGGGAACTAGGTAGGCTGGTGCAATGACTGGAGAAGCAAGATTCCTCAGAAGCAGATCTGTGCTTCAAGTACCTCTGTAATGTTGACTTGATCATAGCCATTTTTTTTTAATAAATTCTTATTGATATCCTATTTTACATCACCAGAATTTCTTCAACTGTCCTTCTCATCCCCCTCCCAGAGAGCCATTCCATACAAAATATATATATCTATATGTACATACATATAGATATATATTTTTTTATTTTGTTTTTGGTGAGACAGTTGGGGCTAAGCGACTTGCCCAGTGACACAGCTACTGATTGTTATATGTCTGAGTCCACATTTGAACTCAGGTCCTCCTGATTCCAGGGCCAGTAGTCTACACACTGCACCACCTTGCTGCCCCCAAAATTTTTTTCAAAGAAAAAGAGGAAAGGAAAATAGCAAATCCAACTAATACATTAAAAAAAAACCCTGAAAATATATGCAATATTCCACAATCATGGACCTCCCACTCTACAAAGGAGTGGAGGGAAGAAGGTCTTCTCATATCTCTTCCTTGGGGCCATGTTTGTTCTTTATTTACTTTTGTTTTGTGACTCTTCCATTTGCATCGATGTTGTCATATATTGTTTTCTTGGCTCTGCTTACTTCACTCTGCATAGGTTTTTATAAGTCTTTCCATGCTCTGTGTTCATCATGTTTATTATTTCTTATAGCACAATAATATTCCATTACATTCATGTACCAGTTTGTTTAGCCACTCCTAATCAGTGGGCATCTTTGTATATATAGTTCTTTGCTACAACAAAAAATGCTGCTGTAAATATTTTAGTGCATAAAAGGACTTTCATCTTATCAGTGACTTCCTTGGGGTATATGCCTAGCAGTGATAAATCTGGTTTGAAGGTTATGGACATATTAATGCTATTATGTGCATAATTCACCTAGCCAATATAAAGCATACTAGAATGCTAGGGGTAGATGGGCCATTAGAGAAGATCTGTTCCAATTTTCTTTTTTGCAGCTGAGAAAATCTGATTGAGACTTAGTGACTAGACCAAGATCATACAGCTCCTGAAAGACTTGGGACTAGAACTGAAATATCTTAAGCCTTTAATCTAGTTCCCTTTTTCTTTTTTTTAAGACAAAGGCAGCTAGATGGCACAGTGGTTGAGCAATGGGCATGGAATCAGGAAGACTAATCTTCCTGAGTTCAAATGTGGCCTCAGACCCTTATTAGCTGTGGGACCCCAAGCAAGAACTTAAACTGTTTGCCTCAGTTTCCTGTAAAATGAACTGGAAAAGGAAAAGGCAAGCCATTTCAGTATCTCCGCCAAGAAAAGCCCAAATGGGTTCATGAAAAGTCGGATACAACTGAACAAAATTTCTTTAGACAATCCAGCCAAGAGACATGTGAAAGTAAAGGATATTTGAAAAGCTATCATTTCTCAGGAGCTTAGATAACACTTCTTGACATCTATTAACTATATTGTTATACATGGTTGGTTTATTGGTTGTTACTGCTAAACTTTTTTTCTTTCTTTTTGGTTTTAAAACACCATATTGCACAATATTACTTAAGAACCATTAAGTAAATATCTGAATTTAATGATAGTAAAACCTAATTCATTCGTATCTCACCAATTCAGTTATTGGTAATTGGAACATGAGGAAAATTCTAAGGAGAGGTATATTTTACTTAACTGTAGAGACAAACAGTTCTTAAATACTATAAAACCACTTCAGCAACATTAATTTACATAAAATATGCTGACAGACTAATCTAATTAAAGGAATTTCAAATACTGAATTGAAAGTAGTCAAGTTGGAATTCAGTTACAAATATCTAATAATGAGATAGAACTCCCTCCTTTCTCTCCCCTCTGAGTGAAACTTGTATGTATATTTTAGAAAGTTGCTTATTAATGTCAAAGGCATTATGCTACTTACTACATTACCAAGCCTTAGAATATCAGTATCATCTTTGACCCCACACTCACTCACCTCACATATCCAAATTGTTGCCAAATCTAGTTTCTACATTCACAACTACCTCCCTATACACAGCCACCACCTGTACTACTGCAATAGCCTTCTAACCAGTATAAGTTCTCTTTCCTCTCCCTCTTCTCCACTTCGCTATCCAGGTGATTTTAACTCCCCTTACTAAACAGGCTTCGATGTCTCATCTCCCAGATCAAATGTAGTCTTCTGTTGGACATTAAAGCTCTTTATAACCTAACCCCTTTTTACCTTTCCAATCTTCTATCTTACTCCCTTCCTAGCATTCTTTGATCTAGCTACGCCGGGCCACTTGCATTTCCTAATACACAATACTCAATCTCCCATGAATGTACCTTTCCACCAGCTGTCCCCTATGAACTAGACACTCTGCCTCATTTTTCATGTTTTATTAATTTTAGCTAATAATCTGTTTCAATTATGTATTGACTGAGGTGCAGGAATATTTTTCCAATACCCTTAAATACTAATGCCTTCCATCTACTCTGTATATGTCTTTTATGTACCTGGTTACTTACACGCCTTTCTCTTTCATTGGTGTTTTTCCCCCTTTTTATTCCTAGAGTCTAGCACAGTGCCAGGCACCTAATAGGCACTTAAATACTTCTGCTTTGATCAATTGGCATTTTAGGGCATGGACACTATGGCAGCCAGTTCAAGATTGTGGATGTGACAGGGTTAGCATGAGGTAAGCCCAGACCTGAAGAGGCAAGCTGCCATCCTACATTATGGGGAGTTGGCATAACCAGGGTACTTCAGCTCTAAAGCAGAGATGATTTCAGGCTGTCTGGATTAACAGCTTCTGGAAGCCACATGAGTTGATGGGCTGGAAAGAGGACAAGATATGGCACCCTTTCTCCCAGTGTTTCTTTGCTCTAAAAAAGGAGCCTTGGATCCATAACTTCCACTTGGGGAACTGGCCTGAAAGACTGGGAGTGGGGGCAAGAGGGACTGGAAATGCTTAGGCTAAGCACTCTATGAAACAGCTCTTAAGATATATCTTATTCCTTTTCTTAGTATGCGAAAGATGTATATAGCTCTAGTGCTGTGGACTGGTCCAACTAATCCATAAAACTTAGTAAGGTGCTACTCTATAAGAATAATTTACTTGATAGTATTAAGAAAACTTAAGAGCTAATCTTACAATATTTAATCTTCATGAAAATTACCTTTTTTGTTTTGAACTATTTGGACTTTCGACCATTCAGGTACATTCCTAGAAACAGTATGTGCCAGCCCCAAGTCACCATTTACTTCTCCTAAGGAGAAAGAGTGGAGCACTGAATGTACGGCATATGGGGACACCGATGCTTATGACCTGTATCTGTCAATAGTGCTTTATTTACTCTTGTCCAGCCTTCTCAGAGCAACCACAAGAGGTTGGGTATTTCCACTGAGTCCAATTCCAGCTGACATCCCTTTCTTCCTAACACGATGACAGAAGGCAATAGCTGGGCTTTGCTCCTTCTAGAAGTTGCCACTCCCTCCAAAATGGGATGACACAAGCTAGTATTGGGCTTGGGGTTAGCTGGTGGTAGAAAGTGGCTGACGTGGTCATGCAGCATGACAACAGGGGCACTAGGTCTAAAGGAAATGGAAGGGTGCTCAGGTCATGCAAGCCAACTCCCAGTTTGGTAGATGAGGACAATGACTTCCACTGAGGTTTGGTGACTTGTCCACATTGACAGGCACAGGTAGTTATTTTAATTTAGGCCCCATTCTGTGTCTTTTCCTGGCACCATGACCTAATTCAACAGTTTGTGGAGTGGGTGGAGTGAAATAACCACTGGAGCAAGATGACGTTTTATCAAGAGCCCTCTGTACACACAGCTGGTGATCCCAGAAGTCCCCATCCTCTCCAAACCCATAAACAGAACAAAGCTGCCTGAAATGTAGGAAAAAAAAAACCCACATATTCTAGTTTATTCATGGAAAAGACCATAAAAGTAATCTAAAGATTCTCGAAACCGGAGAATTCTTGCTTTTGAAATCCTTCACAAAGAGTCAAATCTTGATGGCATAAGGATGGTTTTATAGTCTTAGTGACTTCAGAAAGTGCTCCTGACTTACTGTGCTTGCTTCTAGGCCATTTTCTTCTAGAGCCAGCAAAGCAGCCTGTAAAAACAAAACCCCACAAAGTGAACTCTTACCTTCTGTAACCTGTAACAAGAAATAATCTGAATACAAAGTGTTATTTCAGTCAACCCAACATTCAAGAAACCCTAAGACCTCACTTATAAAGCGAGTTAAATAGACAAAACTCTTACTAATAAACCTTTATTCCTTTTATAATAATTTCAGATTTTCAAGTCAACTTCTTAAAAATTCTATAAAGAATATATTCAGAGCAATTCCTGCCATAAACACTTAAAACTTAACTGTATATAAACACTACGTAAGCTGCATTCCCTGTGTTTGTGTGATGCTTCTGTATTATAGTTTCACTTTTTAGGGGGAGGGGAAAGATGGGAAAGATTGTACTTTTACTATATAGGTAGGCTTGAATGAGATACAACTATAAATGGAGGCAGGAGAAAATGTGTGTGTGTGAGAGAGAGCGAGACAGACAGACAAACAGACCTAGGAGAAGTGATCTTACCTATGTAAGAATCAGACACGAGTTGTTATTCCACTGCAGTCACAGGGAAGTGTGTCTGCAGTGAACAGACAAAAGGAACTAACAGTAAATTTGGTTATACAACAGTAAAGTGGGAAGAAGAACGGAGGCAGACATTGGGAGCAGATAGGCCTTAACAGAACAAAAGCACAAGTTAAATTAGCTGTGAAGAGCTACTATAAACCAGGAAAATGATCTGACATGACCACTAATTCTTAAAAAAATTAAATTATTTAAAATAGAGAATTCTATCTTCTTAACATTTGGTGAGATGGTCTCTCCCAAACTTTATTAGACTCAATTTAATACTTGTTGGCATTTATACTGTCATTAAAAAAAGATTAACTTTCCTATTCCAAGAAATTAAATAATTTAAAATTCTTTTTAAATGAAGTTAATATCTATCTTTTTTTCATTACTGCACTCAACTAGTAGATGGGCAACTGAGGAGAATAACGGTGGGGATGAAGCTTGAGGAAATAAGAGTTTTTTTCTGCAGGCAACTTATGCTGTTCTAGCTTGCCTTCTAAATCCTTAAAAGGATGGATGTCATCACAAAGGTTTGTGTGGAGCTACAGTTCTACCTCAATCCAACCCCCTTCTATGATCAGGGAAAACGTCTCGAGCAAGGAGAGGCCATAAGGTGAGCTTGAGGAAGATGGTGGTTCCTTTTTCTGAAGTACCAAGCAAAGAGATATGAGATAAACTATCAAACTTTGCTCTGTGGTTTTTAGAGACAGGTGGATTACTACATTATGATGTACTCCTCCCCATGGCACCAAAGTAACTGGCTAGCCAACTTGTCAAAAGCTTTCCAAACTGCCCCTGATGGTTTGGAACAACTCATTACACACCATTCTGAATAAGAGACTTACCCACTGATAATCAAGTAAACTTACTTCCTTGCAGAGATTTCCAAGGTCAGCTCCAGAGAAAAAACTGGTTTTTGCTGCTAAGTTTTCTAAAGATACATCAGAATCTAGAGGTGTATTTTTAGTGCAGATTTTCAAAATAGAGAGTCTGTCCTAGGGTAGAAGTAAAAAAAAAAATTAACTTTCTCAAAGAACATAACATACTTAACCACTTAAGTTTGCATTTTCTACCACCCGTACAAAAAAATGAGATTATTGTTTATATCAATAATTGTAGTAACACTTAGGTAGCACATTAAGATTTTCAAGGGCTTAACATATATGCATTTCATTTGATTCTCATAACAACCCTGTGAGGTAGGTACTATTAATATCTCCATTTTATAGATGAGATGACTGAGGATGAGAGATGGCAAATGACAGGGTCACATGGCTGGTTAAGAGTGAGGTTGGCCTCAAACCCAGGTCTTTCCTGACTTGAGTCCAACACTTAACCCATCCCACCAAAGTGCCTTGATAAAGAATTCATTTATAAAAAATGAATTCCAATATTAATGCTTCATATTACTCAGGTTAATTTACATGTAAGAAAAAATGTATTTAAAACTCAAATACCACTGAAATGTATTTAACTTTAAAAAACCCTCATTTTTAATCAATTAAAAAAATACTTCTCTACTTTTTAGAAAATAAAAGATCCGCCTAGGTCGGGGTGGGGAACCTGCTGCCTCCAGTGACCTCCCGGGTCTTTGGGTGTGGCCTTTCGACTGTGTCCAAGTTTTACAGAACACATTTTAATCTCTGAAACTCTTTTTGTTTTGGTTTTTTCTCTTAAAGACTAGCCTAACCCCAAATCACTCAGGTCCCAGATCAAGTCATACTTGGTCACAGTTTGGGCCCTGATTGGCTCAGAATGAATGTAAATAACAATTGTTTCTGTTTTGACCTGAGGGTCTTTCCCTCTCAGACTGCCCCCCCCCCCGACCATTTTTGTTGCCTTAATCACCACTACCTCAAACTAAGAGCAGTTAAAGACCTAAGTTTAAAAAGGCCAAGCTCCCCCACTGTATCCTGGGCCACCACCAGTTGTCCTGATCCATATCCATATCTGGCCCCAGGATCCAAATGACTCCAGAGGAGAAAGTGAGGCTGGTGACTTTGCACAGCCCTCCTCACTTAAATCCAATTCACTTGCATGTCATGGAGTCACCTCCCTGATGTCCTTCCTGGTCCTTTTTGAGAATGAAGGACAAACAGCAGAATCAGCAAGAGAACAAATGTTTTCTGTGAAGTCTGAATTCAGTCAAAGGGCCTCACTTGAGGACCTAGAGGGCCATGTGTCCTCAAAGCCAAAGATTCTCCACCCCTGTCTCAGGCTGAGATAACTTATTCTGTCACAAGACGAATGCTATGAAATCTATGTAATAAAAATAAAATACAATTTTTCATTCTTTTAAAATATTGATGTCTTGTTTTTTATCATTATCCTCCCAAATTACACACTTCTCAATTCACTCCCTTGTTACACAAAGAAAAATGCAATTGATGATATAACTACATCTCAGCCTACCAAACATTCTGAATAAATGGTTCCCCTCCCTGCAATGTGATTTCTGGGAAGGAGAAAGAAGAGAGAAAAGGAGTCTCATCTGTTTTTCAGGATTGAGATTAGCCCATGTAATTAACATCAAATGAGATAACAAAGTACTTTGCAAACTTTAAAGTACTATAAATCTGTTTTTCTGAATTCCTCATATTAGTCATTTCTTAAAACACAACAGTATTCTATTATATTCATATACTATCATATTATGTTCATTATATTCATCATATACATTTTGAATATATGAGACCTTTCTTTCTGTCACTGATCTTCCTTTGGGGTATGTGCTGAGAGGTGGGTTCTGAGAGTACAAGCAGATTAGGAGTTTGTTTGTTTTTTTCGGATTAGGGGTTTTTCACATAATTCCAAATGATTTGCCAGCAAGGCCAGATCAATTTACACTAGAGTTCCTATCTTCTCACAGCCTCTCCAACTTGGACTATTTTGGTCTTTTCACTTTTTCCCATGATGGATGGGATGTCATTCAATTGCTGATCTAGTCTGTTTCACTGATCTGCTTTGCTCTTATTAACCAGTACTAAGTTTTGACGATTACCAATTTATACATGGCTAGAAACCTGAAAATGCAATGGTCCCCTCATTTCCATTTTTTTCCTGCACTTTCTCTCAAACTTCTAGACCTTTTGTTTCTTGAATTTTGTTTCAATGAATTTTGTAGTGAATTATTTTGCAAATACTTTTATATAAATTTGTTTTCCTCTTAGGAGTATAAACTCTGTTCAAGCAGGGAGTTTCATTCACTGTATTTGTATCCCTTGCACCTCACACAGTGCCTACCACATAGGAGGTACTTAATGCTCATTGACTTGTCTGATTCTGCCCTTTAATTGTACTTTGCTTTTTAACCCCATCTTCATTAACCAAGGAAGGCCTATTCTAGGAAAAAGAAATCTCTTGCCTTTTTCAGTATTTATTGTCAGAGTAAAGTAAAGCCAAGCCTCCAACATCAGGGAAGTTTTCTAGGGCAAAGGATTAACTAGTTTGTGACCTAGGGCAAATAGCTGAAATTTAGTAGGCCCTAATCTCCTCACCTATGAAATGAGGAAGTGGTTCAGTCCACATTATCCCTAAGGGCCTGTTAGTGTCAACATTCCCTGATTCTACAATTCTCCCATTCTAGTTGCAAAATACTAAGTCAGTGGCTGCTACAAGGCTAGAAAGGAGATGATCCCCCTATGATGACAGAACAACCAACAAAGGCAGAACAAAATGTGGCCCGAGACAGGGCTAGGCCAAAGCCTATAAACCAGTAGAGTAAGACCTCATACAAAATACAGAGGCAAAAACATCTGGAATCCAATTTGTTGTACACACATATGCAGACACAGGCATGATCTACCTTCTGATCTGGAGGTGGAATATAAATAAGTCTGTCTAGTCTTCCAGGTCGTAACAAAGCATCATCTAATACATCTGGTCGGTTTGTTGCAGCAATTATCATGACATTTTGATTAAAAACTTCTTGAAACTCTAGCTGAAAGAAAAGACATGTACACAGATGAAAGTCACCAAATTTTAAAACACACATGCACATATAAAACAGATTATATTAGGAAAAAGAAGGATCTTGGAAGAACCAGGTAAATAGCAGGAAAAAATTAGACTTGGAAACATCATATAAGATTTCAGCCAATGATTCTTAAAATTCCTCTAAGTGCTGGAATAAATGTCAATATTATTAGACCACAGATACATTTTGATACAAAGGCAGTATGGTTATGCAAGCAAGAGCGCTGAACATGACGCCCAAAGACCTGGATTTGAATCCCACCTCTGCTCCTTTATCTTAGCTGTGGGAATTCAGGTAACTTCTCTGCCCTTCAATTCTCTCACCTATAAAATAGTGATAACAATATACCTGCTCCACCCACATCACAGGACTCCTGTGATGACCAAGGAGGTGATGGAGAATGAATATGTTACTGATGACTTAATATTATGAGTAGAACAGGGGCATAATCAACCAATCAGCATTTGTTAAGCACCTACTATGTGCCAGGCACCATGCCAAAAATCAGAATAAACCACAAAAGGAAACATAAGGTTGAAGACATATCCTGGAGAGTTAAAACACGAACAGGAGGAAAACACAAGACGGCTTTAGTCAAATAACCGAAGGGCCGCCTTGTGGAAAAGAGAAGAGATCGTCTCTCCTACCCCAGACAGCAGAACCAGGCTTCCTAACAGGCGGAAAGTTACAAGGTGACGGATTTCAGAAAGGTTCCTCCTTTTACTGAGTCTACCCAATGGAACTGGCCATTCTGAGAATTAGTGAGCTCCTCTCACTGGAAGGGTCTTTGAGGAGAAGCTAGATGATCATCTGGGACCTCTTAGAAAAAAGGTTACACTAAATAACTATTCTTAAGTTTCTTAAGACTCTAAGATCCCGTAATTTTAAGACTCTGAGGGACTCTGTTTCCCTTTAACAACAACAATAACAACAACCCCAAACTGTCAATATGAGACCACAAACCAGAACTCCACAGTCCGGCAGTGTGGGGGCGAAGGATACATTTCCCAACTAGACAATAAAAATAGTACCTTACGTTAATATAGCACTTTATAAGTATGGTTAACAACCCACTTTCTTCACAGCAATCCAGAGAAGGAAGTATCACAAATATTGTCTGCATTTTACAGAGGAACAAACACAAGTTTAAAGAGTAAATGATCTGCCTAAGAAACCGAACCTGGGTCTTCAGACTCCCAAGTTCAGATCTCTCTCCTCCATCCTGTGCTGATTCTAATAGCTGCTTATGTTTACACAGCACTTTCTGCTTCTAAACCTCCAGAAAAAGTAAAGGCCTAATTAGACTGAATCAATATAATGTGCTATAAAATCTGCCCCTGCCATTCTAGCAGAATTACAATCCATGTCACATTTTATATAAAAGCAGATGTGGCCCAACTGGACAGTTATCACTTCATTGTTTTCACATGAGGAATCCAGCATAGGAAAGGCGTTGTTACATTACAGACAAATATTTAGTATAGTCATGTATAGATATATAAAGGAATACCTCCTCTTCATCTTCTCTCTGCTCTTCACAGTCATCCTGTAACCTCAATTTATTTCCTCTTCTTTCTATTGTCTTGAGTCCAACACCATCCAGCTCATTGAGGAGGACAGAAAGAACTCTCTCCTGAATACCATTTTCAGTTTTGCTGGTGGATCGAGATCCCAACATTGAATCAATTTCATCCAAAAATACAATTGCTGGAGTATTAGCTCTTGCTTGTCGAAAAACCTTTCATAAAATTTTTTTAAAAATTATGTTTATTAAAAATGTATTTTACGAAGTTAACTGTAATAAAAGGAAATTAGGTAAAAGTAAAGCTGTGAAAAAAAAATCTCAGATAACATACCTGGGCCAAGACTTTTTCTGAATCTCCAACGAAAGGTGAGAAGAGATCCGCCGCACTTACAGAAGCAAAAGAGCAATGACAGCTAGTGGCAGCAGCCCGAACTAGCGAGGTTTTTGCACATCCTGGGGGTCCATAAAGGAGAATACCTTTAGGTGGTTTCAGGCCCATCCTCGCAAATTCCCGAGGGAATTTCAAAGGCCATTCAACACTCTGCAAATACATCCCCCCAAAAGGGCAATTTAGCACAAAACACTAAGACTTAATAATACATTTTAAAACAATTCAAATGTATATTTAAGGGTATTCAGACCTAAACTTTTAGTGCCTGAAAAGACTTTGTTGTTTATAATTTCTCATGGTCAAATTTGGGGTCCCCTATCTAAAAAGAGGGAAGATAGCATGGTATAGGGAAAAGAACACTGGTTCTGGAATGATTCTCAATCAACAAACTTCTGTGCTTACCCACGTGCTAAGTGTTAGGGATATAAAGGTAAAAAACTCAGTCCTTGATTTCAACGAGCTCACAACCTAATGGACGAGACAGCAAGCAAATAATGGCATACATACTGGATATATGAAGTGTAAATGGAAGGAAATCTCAGAGGAAAGAGACTGGAGTGAAGAAGGAAGAAGGGGAAGAGCAAGCATGAAAGACCTCCTGCAGAAAGTAAGATATGAGAAGAAGCTCAAAAGTGAGTCCTGGAAGTCCAAGGTGAGCTAAGAACCTTCCAGGCATAAGGGACAGTCAGTGAAAATGCCGAGCTGGGAAATGAAGTATGATGTATGAGCAATGGTAGGTCAGCCAACCATGCTGGATCACTGAATATGTCAATGTAAATAAAACTTAAAAAGACCACTGAAAATAAAGTTTGGGGAAAAAAACTTAAGACCGCAAAGGTTGTGAAGAGCTTTAAATGCCAGTGATATTTTATATTTGGTCTTGGAGGTAGTGAAAGGGACCTATTGGAGTTAATAGGGCAAAACAAGGCCAGACCTGTGCTTTAGAAAAATCACTTTGGCAATGGAATGGAAGATGAACCGGTCTGGAAAGACGTCTGAGGCAGGGAGAGCAATGAGAAGGCTATTTCAAGACCAGGTGATGGCTGTGTGAATGGAGAGAAGGGGACATATGTCAGACATGTTGTGAAGGTAGATCTGACAACAGGATGGATGTGAGGGGTGAGTGACATGTCAAGATGACACTGACATTGAGAATTTGGATGAACAGAAGAATGATGGCGCCCTCAATAAAAATGGGGGGGGGGGTTTGGAAGAAGATACGGAGTTCCTGTTTTGTGCATACCGAGTTTGAGATGCCTACGGGCCATCCACTTTGAGATATTCAAAAAACAGATGGTGGTATGGAATGGAGATCAGGAGAATGAGGGCTAGATATACAGTTCTGGGAATCATCTGCATGGAGATGAGAGCTGGTACCATGAAAGCTCGTATTACCAAGTGAGATAGTATAGAGGGGAACAGAGGAGAGAGCCTAGGATAGAGCAGTGGAGGGTACTCAAGGCCTGGGTTCAAATCCCAACTTTGATGATTATCAATTACTACCTGTGTGACTTTTAACCTCCCTTGACTTCAGCTTCCTCCTCTGTAAAAGGAGGAGGTCCCTGAGGTCCCTTTCAGCTCAAGATTTATGATCCCTTTTAGCAACGATTTATATTTTGTTTCTACTATTCATTCATTATAACTAAAATACTAATGATTTTTCCTATTTTAAAATGATTCTGTGTTTACCTGCTTTAATTTTAACTTCACATCTTCAAGGCCACCAATCTGTTCCCAGCTAACAGGTTTAATGTCTGTTAGTCCAATGAAACTTCGAAAGGAAGAAGGCTGAATCTTTTTAAAGGCTTCAAAGAAATCTGTTGTATCAATCACAGGATTTTCAGAATTCTGTGGGGGGAAAAAAGACACAACCAGAAGTCAAGGGTTAGGGCTAGTATAATAAACAATCTTTTGTAAGTAAGTCCCTGCTGAAACTTCCCTGAACAGAAAACTACTGTGTATTTGTCACATCTAGCAAAGCAGTCACTGTTATCATATACTAGTATTTACTCTTTTTGTATTTCCATAATTATTCGAGTACTGTCCTCTTATATCTTGTCCTTAATCAAATTTTAAGAAAATCAAGAAAAGTGTGCCACCTACAACAAATTTCTACTTCCCTCTTTTCTTCTACTAAAAAAAAAAAACCTATGGCTTTCAGCAAAGACTTCCTGACATCTTAAAAAAATGCCAGTTTTTACAATCTGGCAATTCCTACTGTATTTCTACAGTGACTTCATATTTCCATCAGAAGACACTTTCCATAAAGCTAGATGAGCTTTATTTGTGCCACTAAAAACAAAGGGCAAACTAATGAGGTAACAAATAGCATCCAGACACTTAGATCCTTGCCAACTTGCCTCTCCCCCATGTCTTCTTTCTCCCTTTCCCCTCCGTCTCAGCTGTTCCTGAGTCTGATCAGCAATGAACTGTGGTAACTGCCGTTAATAAGGCATTTATTTAAACTCCCAATCCATTACCAACCTCATGAAGAGACACTGGGGAAGCTGCTCAATCTTCCTTTCCCTGGACCAAAAAGATGCTTAAGTTCCCAACCTGAAACTTTAAGGATAGGAAATTCCACTTAAATATAAGACAGTTAATTGTATTTGTTCTCTCCTTACAAATTCCTAGACCTTCATACACGAAATCTCCACTGAAATTTCTTTGAATGCTGTGTTCCTCCTCTTTATTCACAACAGATCAAGACTTAACTCAACCCCCTCCCCTCTACTTTTTGAGTTAAAATATCAGGGTATGGAAATCTGTGAATTATATAAGTAGATAGAATATTCTTCACAATTTAGGGTGAAGTGCTATTTTCATTTTATAACAATTCATATTAGAGAAAAATAGTTCAAAGTGAAAGAGCATAATTTCTTTTAGAGTTAGAGGGAACCTTTAAGATCACCTAGTCAATTCCTTCATTTTACTGGCCAGGAAGCTGAGCTCCAGAGGGTTTCGTGAAATCCCTTGCCCAAAGCCACCCAGTTTGATGGGGTAGAGCTGGGGCTAGCACCCAGGTCAACTGGGTCCAGTGTTCTTTCAATTATATTCCATATTGCAAGTGAAAGATATGCAGACCCAAAATTCCCCATCTGATAAGACACAACCTCATTACTTTTTTTTTAGCGATGTTGGGATTCAAGTATTACTTATTACAAATAGAATTGACTCTACCATCAACTGTGTTGGACACTCGCTAGCACTAGGGTGCAACAACTCATGTTTTTATTTTTAAATAAATGTCAGAAGTATTTAATGACAGACTTAATACTGGGGACATTTCTCTCCAAAAATTAGACTCAGGTATAAGGAAAGATGCTGGGACCCACCACCAGAAACTTCAGTTTTAAAAAGAGGGGAGAGGGAGGGAAGGGATACCAGTTCCCTTTCAGTTTCAATCTCTAAGCCACCTGGAGAAAGCCTATTTCAATTTCCACTACTCTCCCTACAGCAATAATAAGTGTCTGACTCAAATACAATCAAGTATTTGGAAAAAAGAGATAGCAGAAAGAGGAATATTAAAGAGGAAAACAAAAATGGGCAGATCTTAGCCAAGCTAAGATTTTTATTTATTTCAAAGCCTCTAATCTGGGACAATTCAAGTATTTGCCCAAATGGAGTGCCAACTCAGTCAGTTGAGTGAATACTTTATAAATCTCAAAGCATTATACAAATGCAAGTTATTATAATTATTAATTCACTTTAGCTAGCTACTCACAAACATACTACTACTAGGGCATGGACAGAGTGTAAGAAAACAACTCAAACCACTCTAGATAACCAACGAGAATACTAATGCCATCACTCTAAGAATAGGAAAAGGCTCCAACTTTCATGGTGTACCTGGCCAGAAACTGGGCACTATTAACAAGTCTTTGTGTTTACATCTTTAAATGACCTCCTCCTTCTATCACCCAGCCTTCTGGGTACAAGAAAACAGACCTGGCATAGAGGTGAAGGCAATTTGCTAGAGAAAGGAGGGAAGGAAGATATGAGAGGGAGCTCTGCTAGCTCTTTCCTTGGTGTGGTAAGACCCCTTTTTCCTAATCACCCATGACTAGACCAGCTGAACCTTCTCTGAACAGCCCTTAAAACACAATCCACTACGAAGTGCTGGAATCTTAGCCCAATTCTCACAAGCCACTTGCTTCAAATAGCCTGGAAAAAGCAAATCTTCTCCCATGTTCATAGTATTAAAAACTAGAATATCAGAGGCTATTATAATTATTAATTTTAATTGTATGTGACTGATGTGCTTCTACTGTGCTGCTACTCTGGGAAGGCCACTATAAAAACTGGGCCCTTCTGTATTTTCCTTAGCCCCACAAGAGATAGCTACGATAGGAATCAGCCAGCAAATAGCAGTCATAAATGGAATAAGGTAAAACCTCTCTTGGGAGAAGTTGATAGGTTCCACGTGCTTTTTCCTGTTCCACCGATATTTCATTCTATATTACTCTTCTAATAATAGCTAACATTTACATAGCTATTTGCAAAGGACTTGACATATCTCATCTTACACTTAAAATAACTCTGGGAAATAGGTGTTATTATCATCCCCATTTTACAGATGGAGAAAGTGAGGCTGAGTAAATTTAAGTGACTTGCCTAGGATCATATAAATGTCCAAGGCAGGGCTTGAACTTTGGTCTTCCTGACTCCAAGAAGAACACTTTCACCACCAGGCACCCCTAATCTAGAGACTGTTTTATTAAAGAAAAAGGGGCCTTCTTGAAGGCCCTCGAAAACTACTAGAAACAGAAACGAGCACTATTTTTTCACCAATGGAGATGGTAAAAGGTGGGACTGACAAAATGACTGAGGGTGAGTCACACTGGTTGATGCACTGTATGCTGTGCCCTAGAGACTAAAACTCAGCATGAATAAATGAAGGAAAAGGCATTTTTAAGCACTATGTGCTAAGCACTGGGGATTAAAAAAAAAAGGTAAAGACAGTTCTTATTCTCAAAGAGCTTATATTCTGTTTGAGAGAGAGCAGTAGGAGTTTAGGGATGACAGGTGAGGTAGAAAGGGGTATTTTAGCTGGAAGGGAAGAAGAAAGCAAATGTCAAGCCCAGGTTCCCATTCTCTTTCCTTGGGCCTTGGTATAAATCTCTCTGGTACCTCTCCTCTCCTCCAACCACCTCTTTCAGGACTAAATGGACCAAGTTTATGGTTAGTTTCAATTTAGTGAAGTGACCATCTGTTATACAGATCTGAAATTTAGGTCAGGTTTTGTGTTTCAGCCCTGAGGAAAACCTAGACTAACTGGAAAATGTTTTACACAAAGTGAGAAAGAAAACAAAGAAAACAATGGAAAACTTTTAAATGTGAAGCCCTGCCTGCCTAGTTGTTAGACTTTAGAATAGCGACCAAAACATTTCAGAATTTTGACACATTCAACCCACCCGACTCCAAGAGAAGTGAATCATGTTTCCTCCCCATCCAATTCAATTACTGGAAAATGTGTGGCACTGTTGAAAAGGCATTACTTCCACACAACGTTAAGTTTACTCTAGACACTCTAACATAGTGTTTATCTCCTATTTATTCTGTATAAATCTTGGATATTCATAGTTGTTTGGACATTGTCTCTCCCTTTAGAATGTGAATTCCTGGAGGGGAGGAACCATGTTTTTGCCTTTCTCTGTAGGATGAGTACAATGCCTCACACACACTAAGTATTTTGTTGATTAACTAGTATTAAAATAAAGACCATCAAAGTTACCTTAAATAAATTTTAAAAAATTTAAAAATCTTGCTATTAAAAAAAATACACAGCTAATGGGAAAATATGCTTAACACGAATGTAAGTGTAGAGCCTATATTGGATTGTACACTGTCTTGGGATGGGGGGGGAGAAATAGAAGGGGGAGAAAATTTAAAACTCAAAATCTCATGGAAGTGAACGCTGAAAACTAAAAATAAATAAATTTTAAAAAAAATTTTTAAATCTGAGTATTTCACAGATACCTTAAATAATTCTTCCTACCCCCACCCCACCCCCTTTCAATCAGCTGCCAAATTCTATAGATTCCACCTTCACAGCATCTCTCACATACACCCCCTCCTCTCCTGACACAGTCACCACCTTGGTCCATGTCCTCATCACTTAGGCCTGGACTATTGTAATAGCCTGCTGGTTGGTTTTCCTGCCTCAGGGCTCTCTCCCCTCAGTTGTCAAACTGAGCTTCCCAAAGCACAGCAGATCTCACCATGTTCCCTATTGCCTCCAGGGTCAAATATAAAAGCCTCTAGCGTTCATAATCAGCTAAACTTCCTCTTACTATTTCTAGTTTTCTGACACTTTATCCACCCCACTCTCTCCTTTCCACCAGTGATTCTGTGACACCAAGGTTTCTGTTTTGTTTTTTGGCTATTCCATGCATAAAACACTGCATTTCCTGTTTCCCGACTCTAGGTATTTTCATTGGCCATCTCCCTTCCCCCTAAAGCCTGGAATTCTCTCCACTTCTAGCTTCTTTCAAATCCCAGCCAAAATCCCACTTTCTACAAGAAGTCTTTCCTGATTGCCCTTCATGCTTGACCTTTTTCTCCATTAATTATCTCCAATTTATCCCTAATATATCTTGCTTGTACACAGCTCTCTGCCTGTTTTCTCCCCACTTAGATTATGAGCCCCATAAGAGTAAGAATGGGTTTTGCTGCAGCTCTCCACATAGTGCCTAGCACACAATAGGTCTTTAATAACTGCTTGCTAAATAAGTGTATGGTATAAAAGGCTCCTTCACTCAATTATCTTCATACCTTACCAGTGTGATGCATTGCCTGCATGGCAGCCTCTCTGCAGAGTGCTGTCAGATCAGCTCCTACATAGCCAGTTGTCATTTCTGCCAAGTTGTAGATCAAATTCTGCCAAGTGAAGTAGATCCACATTAGTGGAGACAGGCATCTTTGAAGTTATTACTCGAAGTATATCCTTCCTTTGCATCACTGTGGGTGTCCCAATGATGATCTAAAGCAAAACAAACCCCCACAAATTAAAGTCTACACATAGTTTTTGAAGTTATACCTTTTCTATTTTCCTCACTTTTTTTTTTGGCAATTCCAGTCAATAGGCTTGAATTTTAGCACCCACTACAAAGAATGTAAAGAACCGGACAGTTCCAATCCTATCAGAAGACCATTAGCTGAAAATTTTGCAGATGAAATTGTGACAGGCATTCTACATAGTAGGGCAGCTAAGTGGTACAGTGGATAGAGCTCCAGGCCTGAAGTCAGGAATGCTCATCTTCCTGAGTTCAAATCTGGCCTCAGATACTTACTAGTTGTGTGACCCTGGACAAGTCACTTACCCCTGTTTGTCTGTTTCCTCATCTGTAAAATGAAGACATGGCAAATCACTCTAGTTAATATTTGCCAAGAAAATCCCAAATGGGGTCACAAAAGAGTTGGATGCTACTGAAAACAACTGAACAATAAATTCTATATGGTATGGGTAGAAACCTAACTCAGACTCTTTTGCTGTTGGTCAGCTAAATGTCCTTTTTTTTGGTTTTCACCCTCATTGAAAAGGCAAGCAAATCAATACAGGCCATACATGTGCCGTTATGCTATTTCCCTTGATCCCATCCTGCCCCCCCATTTATTCTTATTCTTTCTTTTGACCCTGTCCCTCCTCAGAAGTACTTCCTTCTGATTATCCCTTTCCCAATCTGCCCTCCTCTCTATCATCCCCCTGCTCTCTTGTCCCCTTCCCCCCCCATTTTCCTGTAGGGTAAGATAGATTTCCATACCCAATTGAGTGTGTATGTCATTCCCTCCTTAAGCCAAATCCTATGAGAATAAAATTCCCTCATTTCCTCTCACCTTCCCGTTTCCCCTCCACTGTAAGAACGTTTTCTTGTCTGTTTTGTTCGAGATAATGTACCCCATTCTACCTCTCCCTTTCTCCTCCTAGTATAATCCTCTCACCCCTTAATTTTATTCTCCAGATATCACCCCTTCATCTTTAACTCACCCTGTGCCCTCCATCTATCTATACATACACATAATTTTTCCCCTCCCACTACCCTAATACTGACAAAAGTCTCATGAGTTATAAATATCATCTTTCCATGAAGGAATGTAAACATTTCAACCTTAATAAGTCACTTATGATTTCTCTTTCCTGTTTACCTCTTTATGTTCCACTTGAGTCTTGTATTTGAAAGTCAAATTTTCTATTCAGCTCTGGTCTTTTCATCAAGAATATTGGCTTGAAAGTCCTCTATTTCACTGAATGACCATTTCCCCCCCAAAGGATCATATTCAGTTTTGCTGGGTAGGTGTCAGCTAAATATTCTTTAGAGGTCCTTTACAGCTCTAACAAAAAATTCAATTTAGTACTAATGCTAAATACAAGGGCTCAATTTTGTTGAAAATCCAGGTAGTAAGGTTTTTTAACATTAAAGTAAATTTTGTTGCTATTTTTGTCACTTAAATGTCTGTCCTCAAAGAATTTGGTAGCAACAGTTCTAAAAGTTTCCCCATGGGCCAGCAAACCAAAAGTTATATAAATTAACCTGCACTCTGAGGAAATCCAGTTTTAGAAATCCCTTCCTCCTTCCACGTGATGACACACAAATCAAAACATCACATGTCCGAAGTATATACCTTTATACACTGTGGGAAGTAACACACAGTATACAACAAGCTACATTCAAGAGAAAAGGACTTTTTTTTTTTGCTTGTTTTTTGGTGAGGCAATTGTGGTTAAGCATCTCGCCCAGGGTCACACAACTAGTAAATGTCAGGTGCCTGAGGCTGGATTTGAACTCAGGTCTAAGCCGAAGCTCTATCCACTGTGCCATCTAGCTGCCCTAAAAAGGACAACTTTTAAAAGCAGTGTTGAGTGCATCAATTTAATTTCAGTAAAGTGAAATGAATGGGGAATGAATAGCTAGGAAATGAACAAGACAGTTTCATCTTGATATGCTGGGAGATGTATATCACAACTTTAGAGGACCATTCAAGCTCCATTAGGGAAATAAGCATTTAATATTTGTTAGAAGTCAAAATAATACAGGACCTGGAGTCAGAAAACTTGGCTTTTAGTTCTGATTCTGCCACTTGCTATATGTGACATGGACCTCCACTTCATCTTAAAAATGGGGTAGGGGCAGCTAGGTGGGGCACCACTCTGGATTCAAGAGGACCTGAGTTCAAATCTGGCCTCAGACATGTAACACTTACTAGCTGTGTGACCTTGGACAAGTCACTTAATCCCGACCACCTCACAAAAAAAAATTGTGGTAACACACTACCTGCCTTAGCGGCCTGTTTTGAGAAAAAAGTGGTATGCAATCTTTGCTTAATGTGAACTATTACATTTACTCTCTCAGTACCCAGTCTCTAAAACTAAATTAGAGAGGAATTGCAGATTAAATACCTAAGGGTAAAATTCTTTTGTGCCCGTCCTCCATAACTGGACTGAAATGGGCAGATACACCCTAAGAGCCAGGAAGGACTCATCTTAGCAGGAGAAGGCCTAAATGCTATGAGGCTAGCTTTGTTGTCAGGAAGACCAGGCTTCCAGTTCAGCCTCAGACACTCAATGCTTGATCCTTCAGGAAATTACTTAGCTTCTAATTTTTTGTCTGCAAAAACCTGCGATGTTAACAGCAGAACCCAATTTGCAAGATTATGATGATAATAACAATGATGATGACTACCACTTTAAGGTCTGTAAAGGAACTTAAAATGCCTCAGTTGAGCCCCACAACAGCCTTGCAAGATAGATGCTATGATTCCCATTTCACAAATGAAGAAACTGAGGCTGAGAGGGGTTAAGTGACTTGCCCTGGGTCATCCCGCTAAATAGGTAGCTAGGTAGCAGAGCAGCTAAAATTTAAGAAGATCAGAGTTCAAATCCTACCTCAGACACTTACCAGCTGTGTGATCTTAACCTCCATTTGCCTCAGTTTCTTTATATGAAAACTATAGCACCCACCTCCCAGAGTTGTGAGGATCCAATGAGCTAACAATTGTAAAGTGCTCAGCACACTGTCTGGCACACATTAAGCACTATATAGATGTTAGCTACTATTATTAAAAGTGTCCTAGTTCACATTTGCCTTCTTGACACCAGGTCAGGCACTATCAAATCAGATAAAATAGGCCAAAAAAGCATCACGCAGAGCTTTAAAGAGCTCATAGATACGTGTGAACTATGGCTTCTTTGGTACAGGGCACCCCCAGGTGAGGACACTCCCTTTCCCAGGGCAGGCTGGCACCTTCTCCGTAACTCGGAGTCTTTTAGAGTTGCTTAGTGCACACAGAGGTTGGGGGACGCACAGCCTCGAACCCAGGCCTGCCCGCCGTCGGAGCTCTCACCTCGCGGTCCAGCCGGCCGGGCCTGCGCAGCGCGGGGTCCAGGGCGTCCGGCCGGTTGGTGGCGGCCACCAGGAGCACGCGACGCTCGCTGCCCACGCCGTCCATCAGAGTGAGCACCTGGGCCACGGCTCTGCTCTCGGGGGCTCCACGCGAGCCGCCCCGCCGGGGACACAGCGCATCCAGCTCGTCGATGAAGAGCAGGGCGGGCCCTCTGCGGGCCAGTTCTCGGGCCCGCGCGAACACCCGGCGCACGTTCTCCTCCGTCTCGCCGGGACGCGAGCCCTGCAGCTCCGGGCCGCTCACAGCCAGCAGCCGGGCACGCGCCTCCCGGGCCACGGCTCTCACCAGCTGCGTCTTGCCCACGCCCGGCGGCCCGACGAGCAGGAGCCCCCGGGGAAGTGCGCAGCCGAGCGCCGCCAGGGCGCGGGCGTGCAGGTGCGGCAGGCGCAGGAGCTCCCGCAGCGCGGCGGCCGCCTCGGCCAGCCCGCCCAACGTCGTCTCTACGGGTGGCTCCGGCGTCGGGGGCACCGGAGGCTCGCCCAACTCGACGCGGGTGCGCGGCGTGACCAGCCCAGCGGGCTCCGGGCTGGGGTCGCCCCCGAGCACGTGCACTGCGGCCACCGGGCCGGCGGCGCCCGGGGGAGCCGTCAGCACAGAGCGCACCCCGACCGGCCGGTTTCGCAGCAGCTCCTGCGCCGCCTCCAGCACCGAGGCTCGCCTCGAGGCCCCGCCCGGGGCCCGGGGCTCCCGCAGCACCGGCCACACGATGACGCTCCGCAGAGGCGGGCAGGGCACCGCGCGGAGGCTGCTCAAGCGGATGCTTCGGCCTGCACCCCACGGCCCCGTGGCCGCGCCGGGGCTCGCGCACCCCGGGTCAAGCTGCACGAAGCCATCGGACAAGTCGCGCCGGGGCCAAGCGGTGCAGATGCAGGAGCCGCCGTCCGGCAGGGTGATTATAAGTGCGGCGCCCAGGCGGACCCTCAGTTCGCGGAGGGCAGAAGGGCCCAGGCGGCAGCGCTGCGTCCCCCGGTCCCTGGTGTCCGTGGGTAGCAGCTTCAAAAGCGAATCTGCCGTGGGGAGCCCAGAGTCCGGAGCCATTGCGCCGGGCTTAGCGGAATCAGCGAGTGGCCCGCACGCCATAGAAGTCGCGCGGCCGACCGATCGCGTCCCAGCGCGGTGACGTGTGCTTTCCTTCCCTCACCCGGTCTTCCTAGAGGGCCGGAAAAAGATGCTGCGCACGCGCCGAGCGGTTCTCGCGGACGCAGATTTGGAGTGCGCAGATCCGGTGCGCTTAAGTGGCCGACATCGAGGAGGCCTTTGCTCTCCCATGGTAGGGCAGTATTTACGTGTGGCTTCTGATTGGTTTCATCACTCTTGGCTTCTCCAGGCTTGTAGGAGTCTCGGTCTGTACCTTTAGAGCTGGAATCTGCGACTCAACCAATAAGCTGACCGAGCTTTGGACCTGTAATCAGGAAGAAAGGCAGCTTTGGACACTGATAACTTTGTGACCCCAACAAGTCACTTCACCTTTCTCTGCCTTATTTGCATCATCTTTAAGGGGGGAAAATAATAGCACCCATCTCACAGGATAGTTGTGAGGCTCCAGTGAAATGATGCTTTGCAAGCCTCCAAGTGCTTGCTATATAAATAAATGCTAGCTATCGTTATTAAGCATGTTAATGCTTACTGACATTTACCATTGTGCCTATCCCCTGCCACAATTTTCATAGAATACATCTACTCTTCATTTTGCAAATGAGGAAACAGAGGCCCAAGAGGTAAAGTGACATGTTTAAGCACACTTGTATAGACTCCACTAATCCGAAGTTTCTACCCTAGTTCTTAGGCTGCTGTCATGCCCATTGGAACCCTGAAGTACAATCCTATTCAGCTCATTTCTTTAGCTTAATGCTCAGCAGAGCAAAGGCATATTAAACACTTTCTTGATCTCATCTAACTGCTCACTAGCTCACATTTATGTAGCATTTTAAAGAATTTTCCGTTTATTATCTTACTTGATCCCCATACCAACATTATGAAATAATAGTAATGTCTCCATTTCATAAGATGAAGACATCAAAGCCCAGAGGTTGACTTCCCCAGGATCACACAGGTGAGATTTGACCCCAGGTCTTCAAGATTCCAAGGCCAATGCTTTATCAATACCAGGCTACTGCTTAGCAATGTGCAAGGCAAGGAAGAGAGAGAAAGAAAAACAGATTCTGTGTCAAGAACCTTACATTCTTTTCTTGTTGGTTTGTTTGGGGTTTTTTTGTTTTTGTTTTTGTTTTTATTAATTTATTTTGATTTATCAACTATCACATATGCTTTTGAGTTTAAAATTTTTCTCCCCCTTCCTCCCTACTATCCTCCCCAAGATGTCACACAATCTGATATAGGCTATACGTATACATTCCTATTAAACATATTTTCACATTAGTGATGTTGTAAGTAAAAATTAGAACCTATAGGAGGAACCACCAGAAAGAGGAAACAAAACTCAACAGAAGGGGAAAAAAAAGAAATGATATGTTTCGATCTGCAGTCAAACTCCATAGTTCTTTCTTTGGATGTGGATAGCATTTTCCATCACAAGATCCTTGTTTGCTGGGAAGGGTTAAGTTTATCAAAATTAGTCCTCTCACAATATGGCTGTTATTGTGTACAAGTTCTCTTCAAGAAACTTACATTCTAAAGAGAATGTATGTATGTACATAGATAAGTAAGAGAGAGAGAGAGATAGGCAGTGGATCAGCAAGTTCACTGCTTATAGGGAACTTCCACATGAAGAAACTACCTCCGCCAATGGAGATCAGCACCATCTTTGCGATTTATAATGTCTGAGAGCTGCCCAGAGCATTGAGAGGCTGAGTGATTTGCCCAGGGTCTCACCTCCAATATGTCCAGTATAGGAATTGAGTCCAGACCTTCCTAGTTTTGGGGGTCTCCATCCATTATTCCATGCTGCCAGGTAATTTGAGGGGGAAGGGGGCATGAATCATGGGGGTGGGGTGGGACTTTGAAAGAGATAGACAAAGAGGGGCAACCGTGGATTCTGGAGGACCCGAGTTCAAATCTGGCCTCAGACACATAACACTTACTAGCTGTGTGACCCTGGGCAAGTCACTTAACCCCATTGCCTAACCAGAAAAGAAAAAAAAAGAGAGATAGACAAAGGAGTGCATTCCAGACGTGGGGGCAGTTTGTGTAGGTGCTGGTGTATGGGTACAGAAGTCATTCTGAGGTCAGGGAATAGGTAGTAGTCCAGTTTGGCTGGAGCATAAGAGTCCAGGAAGGGGAGAAGTGTGAAATAAGGCAATAGGAAGGCAGTGGAGGTGTTTAAGCCCGGCAGTGATGTGGTTGGAGCTCTGCCTTAGGAAGATCGTTTTGGCCCCTGTTAGTGAAGGTGGAAGGTGTGCCCTCCAGACCCATCTGCCTACAGGGCAATGAGGAGTAAAATAAATGGAAGATTCAATACCATCTTAAGTCGTTTTTCTTCTTCATCCAACTGGAATGTATGTGGATATCACTTTGCTAAACGCTAAGCTAGGGACTATATCTAGAATGCTTTTTATATGAAAACTACTGTCTCATTCTCTTTTCACTGTCTTTACACTCCTGAAGCCCCCTTCCAAAGCGAGGGGATTGCTCTTCAGTCTTTATCAGGGTTGACATTTCCTATCCCTTCTAAGTGTTGTCGATTGAAAAGGATTACAGATAAGAGAACTCCTGAAAACATCCCTTATTTTTTCACCCTACCTATTGCATCTCCCCACCTTTATTTCCATTCCCTTCCCTGACAGTGTGTTTGTGAAACTAAAAGTCAGGTTACAGCAGGAGTTGAAGGAAATGCTAAATTTCACTTAGTTTAGTGAAAATAAAAATTTTGATATATATATATTATTTTATTAAAGTAACATATTTTTCAAAATTTATAATTATTAAAATCTAAATGATTATATTATAAGCAACTTGATAAATATTTATCTTTTATTTAAATTTATAGTTTAAATTATTTTATTGAAATTGATTTTTACAGTGTGATTTAATATTAATAATGAAATGATATATAATAATATTTTAAAAATAATGTTCATTTAAATTTATATATTTATTAAAATGTATTTTTATGAGAAAATAAGTATTTTTTTCCTGTCCAAGTTCATGGACCCTTTGAAATATCCTCACAAACCCCTTGGGGGTCTCTGCACCCCAGGTTAACAACTTCTGAATTAGTGTTACCTAGACTTTAGTGCAGCAGCTAGACAAGTTGATGCTACATAAGGCTTATGAATTATATGACTGGCTTCTTATTCCTGTCCCTAGGCTTCCAGTATCATCTTCCACAGTGCATGATCAACTTAAAAGTAAAAGGAAGTCCAGGAGATGTAAGTAAGCAACCCATTACCTTCTATTTTGTTACTCTTTTCAACAAATCAATCAATCACCAACCATCTATTAAGTGCTTACTAAATTCAAGGGATTTGAGAAGTTGAGGAGGAGAGAAACCAGGAAATGTTTTGTATAGAAGGTAGTATTTGAGTTGTGTGTTGTTGGAAGAGAGGTATTCTATGAAGTAGAGGTGAGGAGAAGTGCTTTTGAGGCATGGGGGGCAGTCAGGGGATAGGGCCAGGAGTACAGCAGATGGAATGCTGTGTATGGGAAAGAAAGGAAGCTGATGTGGCTATGTTTAGCCAAACTCCTCCTTTTCCCTCCCCACCAAAATCACCCAAAACAAAACTCCCTACCTTTTCCAGTAATCAAATTGGAGGGAAAAGAAACATGCTACATTTTTGCTTGAGAGTGGGTGTGGGCTGTATATGTCAAAATTAATTCTCTCTCCCTCCCTCCCTCCCTCTCTCTCCTCCTAAAGTCTTAACAACTAGGAGGAGGAGTAATGTCCAACAAGGTTGGGTTGGAAAGGTGGATTGGGGCTAGGTTGTGAAGGCTTGAAAAATGAAATAGGAGTTTCTATTTGATCTTAGTAGCAATAGGGAACCTGTAGAGTTTATTGAGTAAGGGAGTGAGTGGTCAGATCTGTACTTAAGGAAAATCCCTATGGTAGCTGTGTGGAGGATGTATTGGAGTGGGGAGACATTTGAGGCCGGGAATTTACAATTAGAAAGCCATTGCTTAGTCCAGGGAAGAGGTGATGAAGGCCTCACCTAAGAGTGTAGCTAAGTGAGTTGTTTGTTCTTGAAGTGGACCATGACACCAAAAAGGTAATACCTTGACTTGCAAGTGAATTGTATTTAAGTGGGGCACAGCTGTGCAAAGTCACCAGCCTCACTTTCTCCTCTAGAGCCATCCAGGCCGACTTAAGCTAAGTGAGTAATGATAAGGGGACTAATAGGGAATTTCTGGGATAGAAATGTTAAGATTTAACAACTGATTAGATATGTGGGGTGAGGGAGAGTGAGGAGTAGAAGATAATGCTGAGATTATTGGAAGAATATTGGTATATTCACCTTAATGGTTTCCACATTCTTGATCTTTTTTTTCCCCCACTAATTGCACCAGAAACAAAATTTAGAAGCCAGTGCTTTGATGAACCCTTGTAGGAGGCACAGGCCTGGAAAGAATGAACACACCTTTCCAGTCTGACATGGAAATGAAATCAGAGACAGACCATCTACCAAACTCTTCTCTCTTGTGGAAGCTAAGAGGAAAGTTCTTTGGCCCAGGCCATGAATGTTTAAGAGAGAAGTAAGGAAGGCTTGAATTAAGGGGAGAACTGTGAGGCAGGGAAGTAAGAGATGCATATACTAGACATTTTAAAATATAATTATGCTTTATTTTAACATTCCTTTCTTAAAATCCTGATCCAAATTCTCCCTCTGCCTCCAGCCCCTCCCCTACCCATTGAGAAGGCAAGCAATATGATATCAGTTATACATGTGAAGTCATGCAAAACATGTTTACATGTCAGCTATGTTGCAAAAAATTAAAAGCAAGAAAAATAAAGTGAAAAAAGTATGCTTCAGTCTGCACTTCAGTCTGCACAATCAGTTGTCTCTTGGGAGGTGGATGGCATTTTTCTCTGTGGGTTCTTCAGAATTGTCTTGGATCATTGTGTTGATTAGAGTAGCTAAGTCTTTCACAGTTGATCATCATTACAACACTGCTGTAACTGTGCACCATGTTCTTGTGGTTCTGCTCACTTCACTTTGCATCAGCTCATATAAGTCTTCCCAGGTTTTTCT